TGGTTGGCCCAGGTGTTCAAGTTGCCGTGGCCTTACATCAGAATGAGATTGTCTTCACTGCTGAACGGTTCTGTGGCCAGATTCAGCTCTGGCCATGCACCTGAGTCCCCGCCATTGGAAGGGCAATGGTGTGGCTCGTGGCAACAGGACACAATTTAAGGGGTCTCATCTGTTCTCATGTTTTGATTCACTCCTGTAGGATGTGCCATATTTGCAAGCTTCTTGGTTGCAATATTTTTCAAGGTTGAAGCAACCTGGACTTCATGTCAATTTTCTCCTTGGTGTTCTGCGCAGAGAACTGAGGCTTGCAAGCACTTGTGACCCTTTGGATGGCAAGACCTTCCTTGCATGTGGGTCAACCCACTACTTGAACAACAATGTGGACTCCGGCTGGCATGGCTCAGAGGAGTCGCTGCAGGACCCGTGAGACTCATTAAGATTGGATGCTGGCTGAGTTGGTTTTGGTTTGGTGCTAAATACACGTGTGCAACCCAGGAGTTCATGGCCACTATGCAGGGCCTGCCATTCCCTTCACCACTTGTCTCGATGCCGGGCTTTTCCAACAGGCTGATTTGGGATGATAGTTTGCATGTGGCTTACCGTGGCTTTGCAGCTGACTGGGTTGGGAGTGTCATCGTGGATATCTTCGGGCGGGGAACTGCTGCATTGGTGGAAGCACACGAATGCGCCTCATGGTGGGCCAAGTCTCATGGCTACACGCTTGCGATCGATGATTTTTCCTTCGACGATGGTTACCCATCGATCCTAGCAAAAGCCTGGGACGTGAAACTTCTTTGCCAGTGGCTTGTGTCGAGGCTGCATGCATCCACCTTTGAGTGAAGTCTTTGTGTGGGTAATCCTAACCCAAACAGTTTGCGCAGACAACAACACTTGATAAACAGATTTCTTCGCATGCTTTCAGACAAGTGTCTACCTGACCATGTATATCTGTCCCTCTATCTCTCTCTCTCTCTCTGTCTCTTTCGTGGTTCGATTTTGTGTCGGAATTCCTGTTTCTGAGGCAGAGATTGCGCCTGTCTATGCTCGCTCAGCACGTGCTGCAACTGCCAAGCAGCCAGAGCATCCAAGTGTCATCTCCATGCACCCTGGATTAGATTTTGGTGGGATTGGTTTGGCAAGATTTCGGGTCAGATAGATGCTACAAATAGGATTGGATATTTTGAAGAACGGGTGAAGCTTGTTTAGCTCTTCTCTTCATAGCGTCTTTTCGTCCAAGCAAATATACTCTACAATCAACATACAATCTGACATAGCATCGCAGGTTTTTATATGTATATATGTATACATGTATATATATCTATCTATTTATATGTATATTTATACAGATGCTTATACTGTGACCTCACTAGGCTAGCTGCCCACTGAATCAATGTATGGCTTTTGCCAAGGGCGGCTAGAGCGCTGGCAGTGAACATAGAAATCTTGGACTCCAGCATCTATGACGTCTCATACAGAGATGCTCAGAGGGGCATGATGCACTGCGGCCGCTTTATCCTGGGGTACATGTGGCTTGCACTCTCAAGTTTTTTGGAGGGCAGGAAGCTTTACAAGCTGAGACCAAAGTTACTTGCCTGCAGGCCCCAGTCCCGTTTATGTAAACTCTTTTTTCGATGGAACAGATATTGCAAGGCATCAACAAATCACTAAGGCTTCACACTTGGATCCATATCTGGACTCGTCTGACCTCAATGCGGATTAATCCACAGCTCAACGCATGCTTTGCAGATGAAGACTTCATTCGGATTCTTTGTGGAATCGACACTTGGATTTCAAAACCATTCAGGTAAACTGTTTCTTTCATATGATGTCTGTGCTGTGGAACTCTCAAGGCCACCGGATGTCATGCTGGCACAGCGGGAGTCACAGCACTCAAGCGGTACCTGGCAACCGCCAGCAGAGACTGGCTCGTGAAGCTGGGGTGAAAAAATGATTCCTCGCTCAAAGCTTCTGATGCAGCTTTTTTCTTGTGGGAGTGCCTGTGTGCTCTACCTGTGTGCTCTACACGCTTGCATTTCTCCCAAAACCCTAATTAAACCCTAAA